GTGTATGTGTGTACACGTGGAAACGCAGGACTGACAGAGCATGGAGAGGGTGCTCTGTGCATGGTGGGGTTAAAGTGTGATCTGATGTAGATTAGTATTCATGCGTTACTGTTTACCTTTCATCTCTCCTCTCACGTTGGGGAGAGCTGCCATGTAGCTGATTTCTGTGCCTTAGGGTCTTGCTCAACCGTCTCAAAGTCCAGCTGGTTTGTCGCTATCTAATCAGGGAAGTTGTTTGTTAAAGTGGTCTGTTTTCCCACTCCACCCCACAATCCTCATCTCAGAAATACTGGCCTTTAATCAGCGTTATGAGAAATCTTCCGCAGTCGTGGCTCCACAGCAATCAGTGCAGCCTCCCGGCAAACCTGTCAGGGAGCTAGTCATGTGGGGTGCCTCTGCCTCATGTCAGCAGGAGCACCAGCAGGCACTGTGGATCCCAGATCCCCTTATCTACAGAGGGAATGAGCTTGCTGCACCATCCCTGCACAGTACACTCCTCTCTGCATCTGGCCAGCTCCACCAGCATGGGCAGAAGGGGAGAGGCCCTCAGCCTGGCCTCTACCCCACCTGCGTGTGGATTACTTACACCCAAAGAGGCACTAGGAGGGACTGCAGTTGCCCCATGCCCTTCATGGAAGGCGCAAGGGGGAAGGCTCTTGGAGTCTGCACTGGGCCCAGACACAAAATGGCCCCCAGTGTTGCCAATACCCACTAATACAGACACTCCCCTCCCACATGTATGCACAGACTCCCCCTGACCCCAGCTCTCTTCAACAGCCACCTACACACACACGCACCCTTCACAAACTTCCCCTTCTACACGTACTTCCCTGCACACAATCACAGGTCCCCCGTGCTCACACACACAATCATACTCTGCACTGTCCCCCGCCCCAGTCCTTTCATCTCTTTACTGCCAATCACAAAACACACCCTCTGATGTGCCCACAATCACACACTCCCCTTTCCTCATATATGCCCAATTATACCCTCCTTATACACAACCACAACTCTTCCTCATGAGCACAACCTCACACAAACACATCCCTGACATACTCACACAGCAACAACATACACACGTGCCCTGCACACTGAAGGACATGAGGGAGAAGTGGTTTTGGGCTGAGGGGCAAGACACTGGGCTGGGGTTCAGGGTTCTGTTCCCTTCTCTGCCACAGACCGTGTGAGACCTTGGCCAAGTCACTTAGGGGACCTCTACACTTGGAGTTGGAGGTGTAAATTCCAGCTCAAGGAGACATACCTGCGCTAGCTCTGATCGAGCGAGCATGCTAAAAACAGCGTAGCTGCGGCAGCACAACCAGCAGGATGGGTTTGCCACCCCGAGTACATATCTAGCATCTTCGCTGGGTACGTCTTTGGGGCAGCATGCCACTCACACTGCTATAGCTACGCTCTCTTTTTAGCATGTTAGCTCAATCAGAGCTGGGGGGGTATGTCTCCTCCAGCTGGAGATTACACCCCCAGCTCCAAGTGCAGACAGAACCTTAATCGTCTTGCACCTCGGTTTCCCATCTGTAAAATGGGATCAATATTTCTCTCAGGGGTGTTGGGAGGACAAAATCCATTAGTGAGGGACTCACATGTTATGGGGGAGGAGAGCCAAATAAGTACGTAGGGTCTCTTTCCAAGCATTTTTAAAACCATTATTAATCATTTTTAATTTTTTTCCCTAAAGAGAATCTATGTGAAATATATATTGGGTGTGGGCCTGATGTGACTAGAAAGACTCCCACTGTGGGCTTTGGAGAAGGCACCAAATGAGCAATGCATTGTTTCAGAGACGCTATCCAAATGGAGAGGTACACTCCTGCACCTAGCAATATCATTTGGCTGCGTAATCTTAAGAGGGCTCCCTGCCTTTATCTAGCTGCAAGCTGGCTGGGTATAATAATCCTTGCTTGAATGAAGACAGAGGGCTTGAGTGTTTAAACAGAGCTAGCATCCCTTCCCAGGGGCAAACATGCAACCTATGCATCCCTGCTTCTGGAAAGCCCTTAATGCCTGTGCCTTGTGGGCTGCCCAAAGTGATTTAGGCCAATTCTATGCTACAAAGTTAGGTCAGCCCAGCTATATTGCTCAGGGATATTTAAATCTACATTTCCGAGGGATGTAATTAAGCCACCCTAACCCCCAGTGTAGACAGTGCTAGGTTGATGGAAGAATTTTCAGATTTAAAGAGTCTGATGCAGCATCCACTGAAATCATTAGAAAATTTCCCACGGACTTCAGGGGGCATTGGCTCGGGCCCGTAGTGGTAAGGAAGAAAAGTAACATGCTGACAAAATGATGAATCATTTCCCACACCAGAACATTTATTAACTGAGCATTATCACTTGGTTCTTTCTCTCTCTCTTTTTTAAGCCAAACAATTTGTAACTCCTTGCTGGGGGCTTTTCTTTTGCACTAACATGAACAACCAAGCACCAAAAAATGGGGTGTTGTTCTGGATCCATACAGTACAAAGATTAAAAAACAAACCTCACATCTGAAACATTCAACACTCAAGGCAGCATAAATAGATAGTCATCTTTCCCTCTATGTGCCCAGGCACTTAGTGAAATAAATTCACAATGACCCCCAAATTCTACAACCTGACAAAGAACAACATTACCAAGAAGATATTTGTGTGTGTGGCTCTCTGCGAGGGAGACACAGGGAAGCCAGATACCAGCTGCACTCAGTCTGGGAACAGGTTTCAGCATCTGTCCTGATGGATGCTGGTGACTGCTGTGTCGAAATAAAATGTAATGTTTTGTCAGCTCTTACAGTCCATGCCCTTGTGCATGCAAGGCAAGGCATGCCCTTGTGCAAACAACAGTGATCCTCTAAAAGAATCCCAGCTGATCTAGCAAGAGGCAAAGTTCAGGTGCTTGAGCTGGCATTGTTCTGTGCTCTAGTGACACCCTGTGACTGACTGCCTATCTCCTTTGTGCTGAGCACTTTACAAGTCAGTTGCCCCTCACAGCCTGAAAATGAACTATAGCCCACGAAAGCTTATGCCCAAATAAATTTATTAGTCTCTAAGGTGCCACAAGGACTCCTCGTCGTTTTTGTGTGAAACTTACTTCTTAGAGGGCTTGTGCAAATATTTTCTTTGGTTTCAGTCCACATGGGTTCACACACAGACACACATCTACCCTTACTACTCCTAGTTTTACCATGAGTTCCAGGCTCTGACAAACGAAAGAAAGAAAACAAAGTGGAACTCTTTCCCCCCACCCAAAACTGTTTCACTTGGTTCAATCTGAAGCCAGGAAAATTTGTGATTTGCACACAGTTTCACCCAAATGCCAGTTTCAAAACTGGGTGTAGGTCTCCTCATATAGCGCCTGGTCCAAAGCACCCTAAAAATCGATAAAAAGACTCTGACTGCAATGGGCTGTAGATCAGGGCCATGGGGTACAAACCTTTCAAAGGCAGTTTTGAATTTGTAACAATCCCCAAGATCTTATTTCTCATGTGGTTTCTGTTTTCAATGCACCCAGAACAGTTCTGCTAGAAAGCAGCCAACTTTTGGAAACCATCCAAACTCCCCGCCAGTTGGATCAGAAGATTAGTTATTTAACGTGTCTATTTAGGAGTGGCCCCTTCAACATGACA